AACTCTGCAGTCACCAGCAGAGTACAATAGCCAGAAGGTATTTTTTTCTTAGGAGGAATGGATGGTCCAAAAGAGAGGAAAACAAGTGCAGGTAGTCCTTAACTTATGACAACTGAACCCAAAATATTCACTACTATGTAAGACAGTTGTTAGGTGAGTTTTGATCCCTTTTATGACTTTTCTTGCTACAGTTGCTAAAGTGTATCGCTGCAGTTCTTAAGTTAGCAGCATAGTTGTTAAGTGAATCTGGCTTCCCCACTGACTTGTCAGAAGGTTGCAAAAGGTGATCACATGATCCCAGGACCTTGCAACCATCATAAATACATGCCAGGTATCTGAATTTTGATCATGTGCCAATGGGGATGCTGCAACAGTCATAAGTGTGGGAAATGGTCATAAGTCTTTGGTTACTTATAAGCTTTTTAAATCTGTAAAATAAATTTAATGACAATAGTCGAAGGCAAAAGATGATATCGAAAGTGTTTTATAGCTACTCCTAGATCTGGGTTAAGTAAAAAAAAAAATCTAATTTTAAACACGGTTTTAAATATTTTGTTGTTTTTCTCATTTAATGGTTATTCGGAATACAGACCACAGAAGGTATAATAAAATAATGCATGGACTTTATGTAAAGTACATTTATATCCAACATCTGAACAATTTAGCTGTTGGAGAATATAGAGTTCTCTAAAGGCCATAGGGCCTTCAGTGAGATATAACTCCAATTTACAAAATTTTCAGCTAATGAAAGCAGCAAATATACTGACTGGGAATTTTAGAATTTGTGGACTCAACATTCCCAATGAGCACTTAGTTAAAGAAGATTGTTTTCGTCCAATTTGAGAATAAGATAAATGAGGAATCAGATAAACAGGTATTAACTTGTGGTACTTTATACTTTAAAAACCTCTGTCCACTACTTTTAATAAAAATATTTTAAGCAGTAGACGAAGGTTCCACCTGAGTATCTCTAATGGAAGCAGCTTACAATTTCACAAAATAAAGCCATCTGTGCAGCTGAATGTTCAAATCACAGGGACGCCTATGTGTGCAAACAGCTGCTCATCCATAAAGATTCCTTCGTCTAAGCTTAGCAAATATACATCAAGCGCTAAGCCAGGTATGTAATAGAGGCTTTCTTTGTCTGTTCTGTCTCAAAATGCTCTGTGTGAAAGCTGCTTGTGAAGAGAGAAAATGTCAGGATCAAGAGTTAAGTATGAAAAGAAATAAGAAGTTACAGTTGATACACTAGGTAGTCCTCGACTTACAAGCACACAACTGAGCTCAAAATTTCTGTTGCTAAGTGAGGCAGGTGTGAGCTTTGCCCCATTTTATGACCTTTCTTGCGGCACCTTTTACATAGCTCACTACAGTTGTTAACTTAGTAACACGATTGTTAAGTGAGTCTGGCTTCCCCATTGACTTTGCTTGTCAGAATGTTGCAAAAGGTGATCACATGACCCCAGGACATCATAAATACATTCCAGTTGCCAAGCTCCTGAATTTTGATCTCGTGACCATGGGGATCCTGCAATGGTTGTAAGTGTGGAAAACACTCATAAGTCACTTTTTTCAGTGCTGTTGTGACTTTGTTCACTAAATAAATGGTTGTAGGTTCAGGACTACCTGTAAAGAGAATTGTTTTGTAAAGTATGAATACTTACTGATAATGAACCCAGGATGGCCCAAGAGTTTTCTTAAACTGAGTGAGTCCCACAATGTCGATATAAATAAGCTCCACCACTTTATCCCCCTGTGTAGGACACCCAGATCTGTTACCAACTACCTTCTTCATAATCCTAGCCAAAAAGAAGAAGAGGAAAAAGAAGAAGAGTAAAACACATTTTAAGGAAAATTCTTTTTACAGAGAGAACAAATTGCTGAAGTAAAGGCAAGTTTCTTGAAAAGGAGCACTACATCTGAAGTTAAGAAGTTTCAGACATTTTCCTGAAGACATAGTCTAACCCAGAAAACTAGCTGCTCTAAAACTGTAATTAATTAATATTAAAAATAAGACTTTCATTAAAAATACTACAAGAAAGTAATAACATTTGATAGCCTAATTGATACATGAGCAAAACATTCTGCTGGTACAACACACACACACACANTGACAGTTAGAACAATTAATCAGTGGAACAGCTTGCCTCCAGAAGTTGTGAATGCTCCAACACTGGAAGTTTTTAAGAAGATGTTGGATAACCATATGTCTGAAATGGTATAGGGTTTCCTGTCTAGGCGGAGGTTAGACTAGAAGACCTCCAAGGTCCCTTCCAACTCTGTTATTCTATTATATTTTAAATCAAACTTGCTTTTTATTTCTGCAAATATTTTAGAAACAAACTCTTTAGACTGAGTTGATTATTATGGGAAACCCTGTTTATTTTAAAAAACGTATTTCTCTACTTTTACCATACCTGGGATTATCCTATTACATAAGTTTTTCAAGTGAAAGGTTGAAATTATATTTGCCACTGGGGTTCATATGAGTTACATTAAAGTAAACCATGATAGGTTGGGAAGGGTGTAAACCTTAAGAAGCTCTCTAGATGAACTCACAACAATTAGCAATGTGGCAAAACAAAGGAAGCATCATGAAGTTAAATCTATTTTCTACCCCCCAAAAGAGACATTTCATAGACCTGCTGGTGTCTTTATCATATTATTCAAGAATCTAAAACATCTTTCCCAAGTGCATATTTAAAATTTTAAAAAAATTGTCTTCCTTATCCAAAAGTCGATTAAGTGCATTATTTCCCCAAGCAATAACAGCTATTTTAAGCAAGAAATTACTAGCTGAGGCAAAATTCCAACTAGAGGCAAAGGCATCCTAGTGGCGGAGTGGTTAAAGTCCAGTGTTGCAGGTTAACTCTGCCCACTGCCAAAAGTTCGACTCTGATGGGGCTCAAAGTTGACTCAGCCTTCCATCCTTCCGAAGTCGGTAAAATGGGGAGCCAGATTGTTGGGGGCAACATGCAAATAATGCTGACTTTATAAATCAGTCAGAAATGTAAAGCACTATGGAGCAGTATATAAATCTAAGTGATATTGCTACTGTTAATAATTTAATTATTGGCTTAATTTTGAAGACAGCATGAAAAATCCCCCTAAGACAAACACGAATTCTGAGTGACATTGAATTATTTTATTGACAAGACTAACTTACGAAACATAGTATAAAACTGCTGTGGATTAAGGTTCCACTTCCCCCATGGTGTTTTGTGGCCTTTAGACTGGGCGTAGTGAGCATGATTAAACTCTGGTTCAGTGCCAAAGGAATCTAGCACCCGTAACATACACCTGGAATGGAAAACAAAGCATAATCCCAACAGAATATATTATAAACTGTATATTATAAAAACGAAACACAATGTAATTTGTTTTGGCACAATGCGGAGAAGTACTGTGCAGAACAGCAAGGTGCTTGCACAAAATTGCAAGCACCTGTGTTCCCTTAACCCCTTTCTCCATTTGTTCCTTTTCCCCAGTGTCAGCCTAGCAGAGTTGCCAATAAAGGTGCAACCTTGACACAGGTGTGGGAAGAGAGATGTG